CTTATCAAGAGGACCTGCCATTGGTGACCATGGGGTTTGGGTTGAAATCTTTGAAAAAAACTAAATAAGATGCAAAGAAAACCATACCCCGAAAATCAACACTCTGCACATTTTCAAAGAAGAAGTGTGGTGTTGTGAGGCATTCCAGTGGGAAACCACAGGCCAGTTAGCCTAATGTCTGTTCCAGGGAAGGTTTGCCTCTTATCAAGAGGACCTGCCATTGGTGACCATGGGGTTTGGGTTGAAATCTTTGAAAAAAACTAAATAAGATGCAAAGAAAACCATACCCCGAAAATCAACACTCTGCACATTTTCAAAGAAGAAGTGTGGTGTTGTGAATGGAGTACCAGCCATTGGTGTGGTATAGGTAGTAAGGTGTCCAACATGCCGAGCAAGTCGCATTAAATTTTTGCTAGCTTGCAGAGGATCATTAGTGGCTGCCAGAGCGGTGCTAGGAATGACATGCTTGCTAGAGACTGCCAACGCAGAATTGGGGGCGGGGGTCCGTACCACTTTAATCATTCTATGTGTGGTGTGCGAAAAGGAACAAACCAGGCTAAAGTTCATGTCACCAACCCTGGTGCCACAGCCCAGTATCAAAGGACCAGTGTGCTTTTTTTATCATCATCAATGGAAAACTCAACAGTGGCCAGAGGACTAGAAAAGATCAGTCTACATCCCAATCCCAAAGAAGGACAGTGCCAAAGAATGCTCTAACTACCATACAATTGCACTCATTTCCCACGCTAGCAAAGTTATGCTCAAAATCCTCCAAAGTAGGCTTCAGCAGTATGGGGGACCAAGAACTCCCAGAAATACAAGCTGGATTTGAAAGGGGCAGAGGAACTAGAGACCAAATTGCTAACATGCCCTGGATTATAGAGAAAGCCAGAGAGTTCCAGAAAAACATCTACTTCTACTTCATTCCCTTGCTTGCTCCTTTCCTGCCTTCTGATTGCTCGCATTCACTTCAGGATGAAGCATTCATTCAGAAGCCCCAGATTGATTGACTGATTGCATGGACTGATCCCCAGTAAACAATCAAGCAGGCTTATCTCCTATCTCTGAAAGAATGGAGGATTTACAAGTGCCCTGCTGCAACCAAGGAAGTAACAGGGAGAGGTGGCTTACAATTTGAGGTTTGGCTGCAGATGATGGGGGTAAGTGGGAGGGAGGGGGTAGCACTCTGCTCATTACCCCCAGGAATTTCACTTTTACCCCATTTGGGGTAATTTACCTCTGTTCCCCAACCACTGGATTAGAGAGAAGGCCCTTTTGGGCTGGGCTCTAACTATGGTTCCAGCATGAATAAAGAATCCCAGCAACTGACTGGCCCCACACTTTTCAGGCTTGTGCCTGTGCACCTTCTCCTTTCCCCCCCTCATCCTCTTTATCTTTCTTCTTTACTTTCATCTTTCTATTCAGTAACTCAAAAATATTGACATACTTCTATCACGACCATCCTACAAGCTAACACCACTTGTCTCAGTACCTGGTCCCTCATCATCAATCTCTCACTAGGTTGTAAGGGCTCTCCACTGAAGGACCTTTTGGAGGGAGGAGTATATTGATTTTTTCCTTCTCAAATTCTCCCCAATGTTTGTAACTTTAGCTTCCAGAAAAACAGAAGTTTATTTATTTATTTATTTATTTATTTATTTATTGCATTTACTGTATATGCCACCCATCTAGACGTAGATTAAAGAGAAAAGTTGATTAAAGAGGAATCACACTTCATTAAAGAGGAAACAAATATTTGAATTAAAGGATTGTTTAGCAAAAATGAATAATAAGAGGGTAAAAAGGTCAGTGTTAGAAAGAGTAAAAGTGGATTGAGAGGTTTAAGTCAAAACTGAGGGAATTGTTGAATACAATTCTATAAGTATTGACAGGATCTGAGCTACAAAATATGTATAGCTAGAATACAGCTGAGTTGATTGTGACTGTGTTGGAGAGATCCTGGGAGAAGCCTGTCTTCGTGCTACATAATGGGAGAAGAACTTTGGCTTCAGGACTGATCATCTGGTAAATGAACTCTGGACTAATTTACAAGGACTTCGACTGTGATTTATGTATTGAATCCTGTATTATTCTACAGATTCTGTTTCTTCCAACATTACTTCTCTCTTGAGATTTGTATTAAGTCAAATGCCTATATTGCACACTTTCCACCCTTTTACCTTTCATTTAGTAGAGGGCCGATCCAGGAATGCTGCCTGGAAGCCAAACACAGATAGAACCAGAGAATCATGGAAAAGTGAAGTTGGAAGGGGCCTACAGCTCAATGCAGAAATACAGTCAAAGCAGATCTGCCAGGTGATGATCCAAAAGAGTCGAAACATAAAACCCAGCAGGGAGCCGGAGGCTGGAGGCCATACATCGGGATCCTGTTTGGACTTTGGTACAGCTTGTTGCGTCTTGTCTGACCTCTTGCTGGAGCTAAAATATTGGGTAGCGGGCTTGGTCCATAACAAAACAGTCGTAGTGCCAGAGGACTGGAGGATACCACACATCACACCAATCTTTAAAAAGGGAAGGAGGGGGGAGCTGGGAAACCACAGGCTGGTAAGCCTAACGTCTTTGCCCTAGGAGACAGTGGAAAGCCTTATCCAAGATAAGAATCTTAAAATACACAGGACAAGCCTTGCTGAGGGAGAATCAGAATGGCTTCTCTAAGGGCAAGTCTTGCCTCACAAACTTTTTAGAACTCTTTGAAAATCTCAACAGGCCTGTGGATGTGAGCAAATCGGTGGATATTGTCTACCTGGATTTTCAGAAGATGTTTGACACGATCACTCGCCAAAGGCTGCTGAGAAAACACCACAGTCAGGGGATAAGAGGGCAAGTCCTCTTATAGACTGAGAATTGGTGGAGAACCAGGAAAGAGAGAATTGTCAATGGGCAATTTTCAAAAGGAAGAGAGGGGAACAGCGGTGTGCCCCTGGGATCTGTCCTGGGATCCGTGCTTTTCAACCTGTTCATGAATGATCTGGAGACAGGGATAAGCAGTCAGGTAGACAAGTTGGCAGATGACACGAAGCTTTTCCAGGTGGTGAAGCCCACAAGGGATTGTGAAGAACTCCAGAAGGATCTCTCCAAACTGGGAGAATGGGCAGTAAAAAAAACTAATGTGTTTCAATATAAGAAATCTTAAGAAAATATAAAGTAATGCACAATGGGGTATGAAATTAAATCTTTTTTTCATGAGCTAATGCTTTCTGAACAGTCTGTGACAGATCAGGAAATAGATCTTGGAGTTCTGGTGGACAGCTCGAAGAAAGTGTCCACCCAGTGTCTGGCACCAGTGAAAAAGGCCAATTCGATGGCTCCAAGGATCACCTTAAGGATCATATTTCCTTATCAACTGTGCCGTTAGTCTGTAGAACTGCTTGCCACAGAATGTGGTGAGGACATTTGGCCTAGATGCCTTGAAAATGGGATTGGAGAGATTTCTGGAAGAAAAGTCCATCACAAGTTACCAGCCATGTAGGGATGTATAATTTCGAGGTTTAAAAGAAAGGTATCTCAAAAGGCCAGTGGTGGCACTTCGGGTTAAACTGAAGAAGCCTCTGTGCTGCAAGGTCAGAAGAACAGCCGTCGTAAGATCGAATCCATGCGAGTGAGCTCCCGTCACTTGTCCCAGCTCCTGCCAACCCAGCAGTTCAAAAGCATGTTAAAATGCGAGTAGATAAATAGGTAGCATCTCCGTGGGAAGGTAACGGCATTCCGTGTCTAGTCGCGATGGCCATGTGACCACATGACCAGGGCTCTTCTGTTAATTACATTATATTATATCCTCGGAGCCAACAGCCTCTGAACAGGCAAAAGCTGCCAGCTTCCACTCCACCCCGAAGAAGAGATGATATGGGTAAGGGCTCTGATGCCACCACGATGGCATTTTCTACACATCTGGAGTTCATAGCCCTGAAAATAAAAGAAATAAAAGTTGCCCCCTCCTTTGCAGGATGGGCCGATGGGCCACTTATTCACTTTCCTGCTTTGCTTTCTTTTCCAGAGGGTTAGCAGGGTGTTTTTGTTTTGCTTTTAAATCAAAAACTACAAATGCCCAGTAACCCCTTTCAAGATGATCACAGGGACTTACTTCTAGTAAAAGATTTAGAATTCCAACCTAAAGATCGGGTCTTTCCCTAGTTGTGCTAAAGGGAGTTTGGACAAGAATGAAGGGAGTATGTTTCTTCATTTCGTTTATTTCAGTGAGTCTGATCAAGGCCCTACTAGCTTAATGAAGCAGCAACAGCAATAAAAGGAGAAGGCCAGGGTCAAAGTAAAGGAGTAGTTTTAACTCTCCAGCTATTTCTTGGATCATCTGTTAGGGGGAGGCACCAAAGTGTGCTTAACAATGACGTTCACAGAGTGCTCAGAATTCTGGATGCTCAAACCAAACAAGAAAAGTTAGGTTGTGTTTTATTTTCCCTCTTCCCATAATTGTCTTCTCCCTCCCAAGAGCATCAAGAGAAGAGACCATTATACAGCGGGGAAACCTTTCTACTGGGGTAAACAGGAGAGAAGAGGATGGAGTCGAAAGGTAAGGGAAGTGCAGATGCAAACAGGAAAGGAGAAAAGAGAGAATGTGGAATGGAGGCACCTTCCCAGAGGAGACGTGGACTGAGGAGACGCTGGACCTCTTGCTTCTGCTGGTGTCAGCCTCAAGGGAAGCCCCACATAAAGAGAACTACGGTAGTCTATTCTTGAGACTATCTGTGCGTGGACCAATCTGTGGAGTAACACTGAAGGAGAAGGGCAGAACAGAAATGACATTAAAGTTAATCAATTATCATCAGAGTCCGAAGTAAATGGTTTAAAGCAAAATTCCCCACATAAACACTCTTTACGTATTCAAAGAAGAAGTGTGGTGTTGTGGATGGAGTACCAGACTGGAAACAAGGAGATCTGGATTCAAATCCCTGCTGGGCTGGGGAAACTGAGAGGAGAGTGTTTGTGGGAAGGCTACTTAAGCCACCTCTTGAAATCTCACTCACCTTGCAAATGCTGGAGGGACGTGGGATCTGGTTCTTTGTTTTTGGTCG